TGGAATGAGGTGAATATTTTATAGATTGAATAGCGGGGATGTTAATTTGTTTGGAAAATTTAAGAGTTAATGTTTCTTTCTGTAATGTAAGTTTGAATTTAAACGATTTTTGGTTAAAATGAATAAATCCAATGTATGGATATTTCTTAAAGTAAAAAATTAAAAAAGAGTTAAAAATGTAAAAAATGTTTTTTTTTTACAAGCAATTAAGCATGTTTTGTGTATTTATAATACTCTAGAAACCGATAAACTTATTTAAAACGAAACTTTTCAATTAAATGACCTTGTGTAACAAAAAACTTCACCTCAGTCCCCCAACTAGCGACATCTGGTGAGCGTAAAATTACTAGCCCTTATTGAATTTTCGAAGACGATTTTATGTACGAGTGGAAACCAAAGACTTAATTAAACATTTGGGCGTACGGAATTGTACAGATTTTTAATTATACATTATTAAACGAAGTATTTTATCAGACCAATGCCCAAATATTCAAACGCTGCTCAATTTTCCCCTGTCCCGTGACTCTCATATGGGTCATTGCTATTGTCTTTCTATTGTGTCTAAATTGAACAGTAAAAGTGTTAAGATGCCGTTAAGTCTCTCACTTTAAGTCAAAATGACAGTGACACATCGAGACTTCGCGATATCTTAACATTGAGTAGCGTCAGAGTATTTGGACACATTATGTCTGATAGCTATTTGGAACTGTAAGTATAATATAAGCGCGGTGCTCTTCTACAATGAACTGAGTAGACTGCTCGTACATAAATGAAACTTTAGCGGAATAATGTTTTATCTTCGGTCGATTTCGCATTCAAGCCGGCATTGGCATTTGTGTACACTGCATGCCAATTAAACGGCCAAATTAGTCCATTAATAAAATGTTGGCCAGATGTTGGTTATTGATATGGGAAATTGATTGAATAGTTTAGCCAACACGTGTTTGTCGAGTATCACAAAACTGTTTGTCAAGTAAAGATACGCAACCAAATAGTTTGCGATGTCGCAGTTCGAAGGCTGTGCGTTTCGCAGAGCTACAGTGTAACGAGGATTGTAAAATAAATATATTTGATTATCTCCAATACGTCTTTTATTTCTCATCAACCCGTAGGTGACGTCAGTCGACTAACAAGGCAGCATAAAATGTGCAAGGTGTCTGACAATCCACCTTAAGGTAAGTGGCTACTTCAGCTCATGAATACCAGCAACCAACTTCAAGAAAAGCAGGCTACATATGTATTGTTACTCCTGGAACCAACATGAAATTCCTCCGACCGCATTATTCCTAGGTGGACTTCTTTTCTCGGAATCCATAGGGGTAGGTACTCTATTAATTAATCCTGCCGCCAAAAAACAGCGTGCACTACCGAGTTCCAATCTGAACTGTATGTGAACTGTATAAAGAGCTAGCATACTTACAGGCTATTAGGCATTTGTAAGAAAATTATTTAAATAAATGAACGACACTTTGTAAATACTTGACGTTATTAAATATTCATGGAAAGTACTACTATGTATTTACTTCTAGTAAATACAATATATGTATCATCAAAATAGAGAAGTGTGCAAATCAACAGTAACACCGATGCGACACAAACGGCCTCGCTGCAACATTGCTGTTGCAAAGGTGATGTATTGGTAACAACCAAAAGAATTACCCTACCACAGACATAATGACGACAACGATTAAAACTCGTTAAATGACCTAAAGTAGTTGTCTACGCAGTACGTTGTACTGCTTGAACGAGTGAGGGAGTTTAAATATTTGTCAGTTATCTACTCTCATTCCTAGCACATTCCATCTTAGCCTTCAGAGGTGACAACGCATCTGTTGCTTTAGATGAAGAAGATGGCTGCAGCTTACGGTGGTAGAGCCACGCAGCAGCTTTTGCTGTTGCACGTATGGGCCGGCTCGAGCCGGGTTAGTACCACGACCTCACAGAATACCGGCGTGAAGTGGTAGCTCAGCTTCCGCGTTTCGTCTGGTGAGTGCAGGTGACCGGAGGCCCAATTCCGCCATCAACATCGACCACGTCCAAATGGCTACAAATTCCTTGCTACAACAGGTCTCATCCGCAGAGATCGTGTAAATCGCTTAACGCCCGCCACGCCGAATGGCTCGGTTCACGTTTAACCGATCATGCGGGGAGATCTGTTTATGACTTTGCCTTGGCATATAGTCTGAAACAACTGGTTACATCGCCTACGCGGATTCCAGATGTTGAGCATCATACACCTTCCCTGTTGGACCTTCTACTGACCTCTCATCCGGACGGATATCAGGTTTCCGTCGATGCCCCTCTTGGCTCTTCGGACCATTGTCTGATCCGGAGTGTGGTGCCACTCACGCCCCCTCGCAGTTGCTTTCTGCAGGTTGCCGCCGTGTTTGGCATTACAGGTCGGCGGATTGGGACGGAATGCGGTTTTTCTTTGCTTCCTACCCATGGGGGCGGGTTTGCTTCTCGCCGGATGATCCCAGTGCTGTTGCTGACTCTGTCACTGATGTGGTGCTACAGGGAATGGAGCTATTTATTCCATCATCTGTGGTAACCATCGGAGGCAGATCTCAGGCTTGGTTTGGTCGCTCCTGTAAGACTGCTTTACGCAGTAAGCAGGAGTGTTGTCAAGCCTGGGCTGCGGCTTCGGCGACTCGGGATGTAAACACCAGCATACTTAAAAAGAAGTATAACTTCGCCTCCAGGTCCTTCAGAAGAGTTATTGCCAAGGCAAAGTCAGAGCACATAGGCAGAATTGGCGAGAAACTAGTTCGCCTTCCTTCAAGAACCCGTGCATTCTGGTCTCTCGCCAAGGCTGTCCAAGGGAATTTCTGTAAGCCATCACTACCATCTCTGCACAGGGAGGACGACTCACTGGCCCACGACGCAAAAGAGAAAGCCGACCTTTTAGGCTCCCTTTTTGCGTCCAACTCGACTGTTGATGACGATGGGAACACACCACCGACCATCCCGTGGTGTGAGTGCTCCATGCCGGAAGTGCGGTTCTCACAGCGCTCGGTTCGCAGAGCACTCCTCTCCCTTGACATCTACAAGTCGAGTGGGCCTGACGGAATCCCTCCAATTGTGCTGAGGACGTGTGCTCGGGAGTTGGCACCGGTTCTAACGCGTCTTTCCGGTACTCCTACTCCCTAGGCGTAGTCCCGAAATCATGAAAGACAGCTTTTGTCCATCCGATCCCTAAAAAAGGCGACCGCTCAGACCCGTCCAACTACAGGCGTATCGCCATCACCCCCTTATTCTCCAAAATAATGGAATCCGTTATAAACTGCCACCTAATGCGGTACCTTGAGGATCACCAGCTGATTAGTGACCGCCAGTACGGTTTTCGTCGGGGTCGATCAGCTGGTGATCTTCTGGTCTACTTAACTCATAGATAGGCGGAGGCAGTAGAGTCCAAGGGGGAGGCATTGGCCGTTAGTTTGGACATTGCGAAGGCCTTCGATCGGGTTTGGCACAAAGCACTTCTTTCGAAGCTCCCTTCCTATGGGCTTCCCGAGAAATTGTGCAATTGGATCACCAGCTTCGTTGCAGATCGGAGCATCAAGGTCGTTGTAGACGGTGCATGTTCTGACTACAAGCCTATTAACGCTGGTGTTCCACAAGGCTGTGTGCTATCACCAACGCTGTTTCTTCTGCATATCAATGATATGTTGCTAACTGTTAACATTAATTGCTATGTGGATGACAGCACTGGTGATGCTCTATACACAGGCCGTGCCAATATTTCTCGGGAAAACGTCGCCGAGTACCGGAACAAACTTGTGTCTGAAGTCGAGACTTTGCTGAACAAAGTCTCGGATTGGGGGCGACTAAATCTAGTCCAGTTTAATCCTCAGAAGACACAAGTTTGCGCGTTAACCGCTAAAAAGAACCCCTTTGTCGTATCTCCTCAGTTTCAAGGCACTCCCCTTCTTGCCTCAGCCAGTATCGGTATCCTCGGAGTCGACATATCGAGTGACGTGCAGTTTCGTGGTCACTTGGAAGACAAGGCCAAATTGGCCTCTAAAAAGCTTGGCGTGCTCAGCAGAGCGGGACAGTATTTCATGCCGGCACACCGCCTGCAACTTTACAAGGCGCAGGTTCGGCCTCACATGGAATACTGTTCCCATCTCTGGGCAGGGGCTCCCCAGTGCCAGCTCCTTCCACTTGACCGCATCCAGCGCAGAGCGGCTCGAATCGTCGACGACCGATCCCTTTCCGATCGGCTCGATTCATTGGCACTGCGAAGAGATGTTGCATCCCTTTGCATTTTCTTTCGCATCTACCATGGGGAGTGCTCTGAGGAATTGTTCGGATTAATCCCAGCCGCCAAATTTCACGAACGCACATCGCGGCAGAACTCCCGATACCATCCACACCATCTGGATGATTGGCGGTCCACCACTGTGCGATTTAGAAGATGTTTTCTTCCTCGCACGACTTCCTTGTGGAATCGATTACTATCAGCGATTTTTCCGGACCGATACGACTTAGGGACCTTCAAGAAAAGAGCGTACTCCTTTTTAAAAGGCCGGCAACGCATATGCAATTCCCTCCCTGGTGTTGCAGTTGTTCATGGGCGGCGGTAGTCACTTACCATCAGGTGAGCCGCATGCTCGTTAGCCCCCTCTCCTATAATAAAAAAAAACATCAGGTGAGTCGCATGCTCGTTTGCCCCCTCTCTTATAAAAAAAAGGTGTCTATGTTCTGCAATAACCACTTATCATCAGGTGCACTGTAAGTTTGTCATTCCATTAAAAAAAAACAGAATCAGATGGAATGTTATCTCGCTTTTTAACAAATCATTGATAGATTTTTTTAATTATACATCATAAATAATTTGGGTCAATGATATCGCGACGTACAGTAATCTCACCGACTCATTGGATATCATTACCTGAATAATGATCCCAAATATTTATGTACTTACTGATGGAAATGACAACGAGAGTGGTCAGGCGTGGTCGTAATAAACGCAGTACAGGAAGTAAAGGACAAAAGTAATCTTTGATCTAATATATTCAATTCAAACAAAACTTGTTGCTCTCAGTCAATACAATTTCACTAACTTGGTCCTTAGGTATAATTTTCACAAATTAACTACATTACTTACTACGAAGTATAAATATAATACATGTGTACAATACAACTTAGCAATACTGTCTATTTTGTCGCAAACAGTCTAATTGGTTCGACCTTCATACAATACAATATCTAATTCTCTATGCAAATAAATATATTGAACTATTTTTATACTATAAAGAATGGAATGATCCCAATAGGCAAATTCAAGGCACAGAAGATTTTGGCTCGAAGTTAACCCGCCGGCCGACTGCGTCGGAGATCTGGTTTCCCTGTTCCTATCTTCTTATGTGGCATGTTCTGGAAAATAATGTTTGATTTTCCATAAAAAGCTTTTACAACGTGTTTAACTGTTAAAGAAAAAGTCTGAAAACCTCTATAAATATACGGGTTAATTTTCAAAGGGTATCCAAAGTTTATATTTATGTTCAAATAATTATCTAATGATATACATACAGTGATTGAAATTTTTGAAAATATTAGTAAATAACACTATATTTTATTTGAAATTATCCCAAATTGAATGTGATTTATGGGCAACAACTACGCATACGCATATAACCAGATGACACTTACGAATGTGTGCATGCGTAGTTAAATAGTAGGCGTTAGAAATGTATTTAGAATGACAATCTGTGAAAATAATGCAATACCACGCATTTCGAATTTAAAAGATAAAAAAGACAACGTTTGAGATGTTTTTAGGTAAAAACAGTGCAGAAGCTCGTGTGTGTGTGTGGGGGGGGGGGGGGTGCGTGTGCGTGCGTGTATGTGGGTGTGTCTCACCAGGGGAGCGGTGGCTTGTGCGCGCGGCGGTGCGCGTCCAGCAGCAGGCGGTCCAGCTGCACGCGGCACGAGCAGTGTAGGAACTCTCGCGGCCGCACACCCCTCAGCACAGCCGCCAGTGACGGCTTCACGTTGTAGAAGATGATCGTCTGCCCACGCGCGTGGAAGTCCTCGATCAGCGACTTTATACCCTGACATACGATCCCATATTAGTGTAATATAAAACGCACTAAGTAACAAAAGACAAACCACGCGTCTATAGCCTTGTCGCACGCTCACTCGCCAGGGAGTATAATAATCGGCAAACAACTCTTTCCTTTTCCCAATTACTAACTCTGTGGCCAATGAACACACGTTCAGCTCATGCTTCTATACTTACTGAATAAACGCCCGATGAGTAACGTGACACAGGGAAATTAAAACAGGTGATGGATAGCAGCATCTTCCTAATAACGATATACGTGGTAGAGCCCCGCCGCAGCTATATTATGGTTGTAATAGACGAATGGGTCGGCTTAACCGATTCGTTGCGACACTGATTTTCGACAACTTTTAGCTGTGGCGGCAAACAAATATTTATATACGCCACAGACTTTCATGACACGCCTATTGTGCCATCGGCCATGTGTAAAAGTAATGTTCTTTTTTATGCTTTTTTTACTTGTTTTGACCTAATTAAGTTTATTTGACATCAAACATCAGTTACAAACGGAAGGATACTTGTTTTTAGTGGGTAACTACGTGTTTTTCTATGTGTTTTCTTTGAAATTGAGAGTGTGACTCTTTTATGATTATGTATATAATATAATATAATGATTTTATGAGATTACAAACCTTTTGTACTATTTTTTTTTATAAAAAATCATTTATATAAGTAAGTACAGCTAAATCACCCTGGAAAACCTTGGTCCTTATTAAATTAAATTTTCACCTAATAGTAACATTTGTAAATATGAAACAATCAAGATCCTCAATTTGGAAAAAAATAAGGTTTATGATTCATTGATTTTACAAATGTTAAATATTATTTAATGTTTTATAAGGTTTCAAACTGTTTCAAGCAAAAATAAACCTTATAACATATCACAAGAGCACATGGTACTTCGTAGGTCTATTCGGTCCTATGATAGTAATAAGACGGCAGTTCAACCATTTTAAGTAAAATTAAACAATAAGACAAACGCATTGTTTTTTTTTTAACAGAAGACTTGTTTTTTAGAAATTTATTTACAACTCGTGTTTGTAAGCGATCGCAATGAGTGCTATTATTTGTTACGAGGTGGATTGAAAAGTACTCGGCCTAACCAAGAAAATAAACAAATACTAAATCAGTTATATTTTTATTTTTCTACATAATCACCATCAAGTTCAATACACTTTTGCCACCTCCCCTTCCAAGCATTTAGACCGTTGAAAAAAAATGATTCTTCCTTAGAGTCAAAATATGCGTCTACAGCTGCTTTGACCTCGTCGTTTGTCGAAAATCTTTGACCTCCCAAGTGCTTTTTTAGGTTAGGGAACAGAAAGACGTCTGATGGTGCCAGATCAGGTGAATACGGCGGATGCGGTAACAGTTCAAAGCCACAGTTGTGAATTTCAGCCATTGACTGTACTGACGTGTGAACACGGGCGTTATCTTGATGAAACAGGACTTTTCTTCTGAGCATTCCTCGACGTTTTTCTTTTATTTCCTCTCGTAAACGACGTAGAAAGGTGCAGTAGTAATCAGAGTTTATATTCTGACCCCTTTCAAGATAATCAATCATAATCACACCTTTCGAGTCCCAGAATACTGAAGCCATCACCTTATTTGCCGACAAAATCGACTTAGCCTTTTTAGGGGGTGGTGAACCAGGTCTTCTCCACTGTTTTGATTGTTGTTTTGTTTCCGGTGTACAGTAATGAACCCATGTTTCGTCCATAGTAACAAAACGATTCAAAAAATCATCTGCATCGGCTTCAAATAACTCCAAACAGTCGCGTGAAATAGTCAATCGCGTCCTTTTTTGTTCAACTGAAAGCAGTCGCGGAACCCACCTCGCAGACACCTTGTGGAAACCCAACTCGTTGACAATGATGTTTTGAGTTCGTTCGTTTTTCGTTCATAAGAGATGCCTATAATCTCGGCTATCTCTCTAATTTTTAATCTGCGGTCTCCCGTTATTAAATCAAGTACTTTTTTAATATTTTCGTCAGTAGTTGACGTCGAAGGCCTTCCAGAGCGGGGTTCATCTTTCACACTCTCTCTACCACGCTTAAATTCTGCTATCCATTTTTTGACGGATGAATATGACAGAGCACAATCGCCTAATGTACTGACCATGTCATCATGGATGGTTTTTGATGATAGCCCCTTCTTATGGAGGTACTTAATGACGGCACGCTGCTCGATTTGCTCCGTTCGCGGAAATTATGTCCGATTACTTTGTTAATAAATTTATAAAATCACAACTAATTATCGCACACGTTTCGAACTTCACACAATGAACTAGTCTGAACTGAACTAAATAATGTGGATAGATTTGATTTTTAGAATTGAATGGATCTGTGTTAGGCCGAGTACTTTTCAATCCACCCTCGTACTTATTAGACTATTTTCCAACAACATGATTGAAAACCCACAAAGTAAAAAGAGTACCATGTACAAGTTAAAAAAAGGTTGTCAACCCCTAAAAATTTCAAATTTTCAAAATATCCAGAAACGAAGCCGCAGGCATGAACTACTTGCAAAATAATGAATATTTTGTTCTGGATAAATTTTCCAAAAAAGCATTTTGAGCGAGTTATAACGATTTTTAAAAAGACACGACTCGCGTGTCACACGCCACACACAAAAGTAATCGATGGCACGCCTGGCGTGCCGCCCGCACTGAACCGGCTAATAGGGCTAAGACCACGCTCTTACAAGTACCAGCGTAAAATAGCAGCTTAATAATGCTGCTGTGTGTTCGTACAGTGAGTCTAGAGAACCGGAGACGTTTTTTACTGGAAACGAGGCATCTATTTTAGTCTCAGGGGTGGCAATACATGTGCATTTTGATTCTTAGTCGAGTATAAATGTAGATGTGTATGGGCTACAGCATCCACTTACTATTACGTGGACTGTATGTTCGTTTGTCACCCTTATTCTATAAAAAGATAACCTATGGGATAAGCCCACGACTAGAATCGGAAGAAGGAGGTTCAAGGTGAGGGGTGGTCTCGAGAACTTTCTTCATCATCGATTGTCGGTTCTTCGAGCTATATGGCCGGCCCATTGCCACTTCATTTTAGTCATTCGTTGGGTTATGTCGGTGAGTCTGGTTGTACTGGTACCTTGGCGGCGGTGAAGTCGGCGGCCTGCACGTGCGAGGCGTCGAGCACGAGCGGCAGCGTGTGGCGCTCGGCCGCCTTGCGCAGCGCGCGCCGCACGAACTCCGCGGACGGGAACGCCAGCGCGCGGTCCACCGTCGCCACCACATGCTCCACGCCGTCACCCGACTTCACACAATACAGTAGAATCATTTTTATTTAATATAGATTACAAGAATATTAACTTTGTGTTTCTCTGCACACATGAAAAAGTGAGATCAATTTAAGCGAGTGACGAAGAAAATGTCACGATAAACAACCGAGTTTAGCGACTATTTTAAAACTGTACTACATATTATTTAATAATAAATGAAAAAAAAGGCTTATTTAAAAGTTATTTAAGCTTTACCACTGGTTCGGAAAAAACCTCTGTCCTGAGAAGAACCAGCAAGAAACACAGCGGGATTTTCGAAACAGCATAGCAGTATCATTACCCTTACTAAACAATTTTTGCTTAATAAAGATAAAGTAGACAATATGCTATCTATATATTAATACGTGAAGGAAAATCTTTACATCGATTTTTAACGACATTGCGCACACAGAGGAATGTGTGAGGTACATTCTCCATACTTAAAATTTATATAGAGAAAGGGTGTGAAAATGTCTAATATGTGTTTTAAATACATTAAAAAAATAGAAAGTTCATTGCTTACGTTAATACTGCCAATGATAAACTAATAATTCAAATGCTCAATACGGTTTTAGAAAGGGTAAGTCAACAACTGATGCTGTACAAGTTTTATTGTTAAGAAATTGGATAATAAAAAAAAGTCTAATCATTTCTATTGGCCTTCAAAAAGCGTTTGATACAGTCTCTTTCGCTAAGTTTACTAAAAACTAGAAATAATGGGCACAGTTACTACTTCTTATGGATTAATTACATAATCGAACACAGCGTATTAGAATAGGTAACAAAGTAAGCGATGAACAACCTAATAGTTACGGCATCCTACAAGGTAGTGTACTTGGCCCAACGCTGTTTTTATGCTACATTAGAGAACTTTTTAACTTAAATATAAAAAATTGTAAATAATGATTTAGAAATTTAATAAAAAAAATGTTTTTACAAATCCGAAGTGGCAAATGAACTTATAGTTCACCTGATGGTAATTGATTTGCAGACTTGCAACAAATTTCATACAAAGAAGGCTGCAAATGCTTTATCACCCCCTGAGGACTAAAATGGCTCACAGCCTGTAATTATACCTTTCATAACAGTTGTTATGAAAGTTAGAAAATAGTGTTGTATAGAAAATACACTATTATTTGGCGGCAGAAATTGGTAAGAGGGTTAACTCATTAATTTCAGCTAAAGTAACACAGATAGCTGAAAAGGTAAAAGGGAATTATTAAATCCAAATGATAAGTTAGTAATATTAATGTTTTTGTAAAATTTTTAAACATAAAATACAGTTTATTTTATTTGAGGCATGTTTCTCTAGAATATCGGATCCTACCTTGCCTGCCCTCTTTTGTGATGATCAGGTGTGTCAGTAATGAGTTGAAGAGATTGGTAAAATACTACATAATACGAGTATAGTGGATTTTTTAATCGTCATGATATAATATACCTTACTTGTGACTTATCGAATGTTACATTATGTTAGTGTTTGATGTGTGATAGGTGTGACTGTTTATAGTCCACTTATTCCTTAGGTGTGATTATTTATAGTCGCACGTATTCCTTGCACATAACTATTGTTACTATAATACATTTTATGTTTAATTTTGTATTCGATTGTAGTGATTAAGTAATTGTAGTCAGAACGGGACGACGTGGTTGCTTAGCGACGAAATCCTTTATAGTTTATTTAATTTTGGATAAAATTGTGATGTTTATGGAGCTAATACAATGGCAGTAGTAATGTGTAGGAACCACACTTTTACTAATTTCTACCGCCAAATAACACAAATAATATGCTGTGTCCCGGTCTCAAGGTTATAGAGAGGCAGTATAATTAATTATAGTTTGTGAGGCATGTCGTGTTAGTCCTCAGAGGTGACAACGCATTTGTAGCTTTCTTTGTATTAATTTGGTTACAGGTGTCCCTGGGCTCCAGTAGCCACTTACCACCAGGTGAACTGTAATATTGGAGTGGGTTCAAGTGTTTCCATAAAAATAAATAAAAGATTTGAGGGTGCTTACGACGGCACTGGTGATGCGCACGGAGGGTCGCGCGGAGGCGTACAACAGGAACACGAGGTTGACGGCGATGCCGATCACGATGCCCAGCTCCAGCCGCGTCAGCAGGCACGCCGCGAACGTCACCACCGCCGGGATGATGTCCAACTCTGCAACAAACACCCGTGCCGGTCACTTTGAGATATCTTGATACATATCTATCATTATACGCGGTATAACCACGATGCAGCTATATTATGTTTGTAGCACGAATGAGAATCTCTCACAGAATACCAGCGTAAAATAGCAACTTTATGCTGCTATGTTTCGTATGGTAAATGTATAAAACCGGAGACCCTTTTTGTCTGGATACGAGGCTTTCCATCTTGACCAACGAGGCAGTCAGTGCTCTCTACTGTTATACTGTTTTTTTTATTGTGCGTTTTTATAAATTCAATAAATAAACAGAAAGTATGACCTGCATAAAAAAGAATGACTTATACAACATCAGGTTATGCGCTTTAAGTTGCTTTTTCAAATCATTATTACGTTTAAGATAATTTTTCTTCTTACTTTTAGTCCTCCATATGGGTTTGAAGACGTGCAATTCCATCATGAACACGACGGCCGCAATGATTACCGCCGCCAGCGAAGCTTTCGGAATGTAGAAGAAATATGGCGTGAAGTACTGGAAAGGAAAAAAAAATTATTACATTATGATACCTTAGTTACTCTCTGTCTGTTTTTAAATACAATTTTAAAATTTTTTTTTATAAAGTGCAATGAGTTGGATTTTCATTATAAATTATAAATAAGTCGTTTCAGGTTTGTTGTATAAATTCCAAACTTTTAAAGACGGCCACACTTACGATATTAATAAAGAATTGACGAAGACTCATTGATTGTAGCTTGAAACACTTCGTAGCTACGACGAGGCGACGCCGGACCTGACCTGACGTGCACGTACCTGCAGTGCGAGCAGCACCAGCGAGCCGGTGTACAGGCCGCCGGCGGGAGAGGCGACGCCGGACCTGACCTGACGTGCACGTACCTGCAGCGCGAGCAGCACCAGCGCGCCGGTGTACAGGCCGCCGGCGGGAGAGGCGACGCCGGACCTGACCTGACGTGCACGTACCTGCAGCGTGAGCAGCACCAGCGTGCCAGTGTACAGGCCGCCGGCGGGTGAGGCGACGCCGGACCTGACCTGACGTGCACGTACCTGCAGCGCGAGCAGCACCAGCGCGCCGGTGTACAGGCCGCCGGCGGGAGAGGCGACGCCGGACCTGACCTGACGTGCACGTACCTGCAGCGTGAGCAGCACCAGCGTGCCAGTGTACAGGCCGCCGGCGGGTGAGGCGACGCCGGACCTGACCTGACGTGCACGTACCTGCAGCGCGAGCAGCACCAGCGCGCCGGTGTACAGGCCGCCAGCGGGAGAGGCGACGCCGGACCTGACCTGACGTGCACGTACCTGCAGCGCGAGCAGCACCAGCGCGCCGGTGTACAGGCCGCCGGCGGGAGAGGCGACGCCGGACCTGACCTGACGTGCACGTACCTGCAGCGTGAGCAGCACCAGCGTGCCAGTGTACAGGCCGCCGGCGGGTGAGGCGACGCCGGACCTGACCTGACGTGCACGTACCTGCAGCGCGAGCAGCACCAGCGCGCCGGTGTACAGGCCGCCGGCGGGAGAGGCGACGCCGGACCTGACCTGACGTGCACGTACCTGCAGCGTGAGCAGCACCAGCGTGCCAGTGTACAGGCCGCCGGCGGGTGAGGCGACGCCGGACCTGACCTGACGTGCACGTACCTGCAGCGCGAGCAGCACCAGCGCGCCGGTGTACAGGCCGCCAGCGGGAGAGGCGACGCCGGACCTGACCTGACGTGCACGTACCTGCAGCGCGAGCAGCACCAGCGCGCCGGTGTACAGGCCGCCGGCGGGAGAGGCGACGCCGGACCTGACCTGACGTGCACGTACCTGCAGCGTGAGCAGCACCAGCGTGCCAGTGTACAGGCCGCCGGCGGGTGAGGCGACGCCGGACCTGACCTGACGTGCACGTACCTGCAGCGCGAGCAGCACCAGCGCGCCGGTGTACAGGCCGCCAGCGGGAGAGGCGACGCCGGACCTGACCTGACGTGCACGTACCTGCAGTGCGAGCAGCACCAGTGCGCCGGTGTACAGGCCGCCGGCGGGAGAGGCGACGCCGGACCTGACCTGACGTGCACGTACCTGCAGTGCGAGCAGCACCAGCGCGCCGGTGTACAGGCCGCCGGCGGGAGAGGCGACGCCGGACCTGACCTGATGTGCACGTACCTGCAGTGCGAGCAGCACCAGCGCGCCGGTGTACAGGCCGCCGGCGGGAGAGGGGACGCCGGACCTGACCTGATGTGCACGTACCTGCAGCGCGAGCAGCACCAGCGCGCCGGTGTACAGGCCGCCGGCGGGAGAGGCGACGCCGGACGCGTGGTTGACGGCACCGCGTGATAGTGCACCGGACACCGGCATCGACTCCACCAGCGCCGAGGCTATGTTGCACACACCCAGCGCCAGCATCTCCTGCGTCGCGTCCACGTACTTGCCCTCCGCTGCGGCCAGATTGAATTTTTTTGTAATATAATTGAAGTGACACTAACTTACAGTCCCAGGTCTTTGGTTACCTGCAAGGAGTGCAAAGTGATTTAAATATTGATATACCTATATACAGGTTGTTCGGTAATTAGTAGATAATAATTAATGGCGTGGCTTGATCGGTAGCGGGTGCGCAGCGCGCGAGGGCAGGTTGCCGACTGGAGCGGGCAGAGGGCAGACACGTGAGGGCAGACGTCATTGACACTCGTGCGCGTGGAGCTAATTATTTGATATATTTGCGAATGCTAAATATTGTACGTGCGAATGCTAATTAATTTCAGTTACTTACATAGAAATTATCTTGCTGCTACGGAACCCTTCATGGGCGATGTCCGACTAGCACTTGGCCGCTTTTTTTTGTTAAGCACATACTTTACGTTAAATTAGCCGATAGATAGGTCTACTACTATTATAACTAGTTATTGCAGATTCTTTAAGATTGAATTTTCGTTTTTCAATACAAAATAGAAAATAATATTTGAGTTGATAAACTCTAAACCACTTGGATATAAAAAAATATGTATGAAAGCCTGAGTGACCAATAATTTTGTAATGTGTTTAAATTTAAAGTAGATTTTGAAATACTTACTATTATTATTTTTATACCTAATGTAAATAGTGTGACTATTGCTATTATTGTGCAAAAGTTATATTTTTACATTAATTTGTGCCCTTAGGATTTAATAAAAAACATAATTTGACATAAGTAAGACTATTTTCATCATTCATCATTACAGCCCTTCACAAGTCCACTGCTGAACATAGGCCTCCCCCAAGGAATGCCACAAAGCACAGTCTTGAGCCACCTGCATCCATCGACTTCTTGCATGTTTTACCAGGTCGTCACTCCGTTTAATGGGGGGTCGCCCTACACTTAGCGTACCGGTACGAGGCTGTCACTCGAGAACCTTTCTTCCCCATCGGTTGTCGGTTCTTCGAGCTATATGCCCGGCCCACTGCCATTTCAGCTTACTAATCCTTTGGGATATGTCGACTACTCTGGTTCTCTGCGGATATCCTTATTTCTAAGTTTATCACGCAGAGAAACCCGGAGCATAGCCCTCTCCATAGCTCGCTGAGCCACCTTGAGCTTCTTCAGTGAAGGACCACGTCTCAGATCCGTAAGTCTTCACTGGCAACACGCACTGGTTGTACAATTTCGTTTTCAGGTTTTGAGGTATTTCTAACGAGTAGATGTGTCGTAGTTTCCCGAACGCTGCCAAGCCGAGTTCAATCCGTCGATTGACCTCTCGGTCGAAGTTAGACTTACCTAGTCGGACTATTTGTCCCAGGTAAACATACTCGTCAACACCTTCGAGCTTAGTGCTCTCAACAACTACCGGCATAGGTGTGACATGGACGTTGAACATGATTTTTGTTTCGTCCATGTTCATCTTAAGACCTATCCGTTGGGAGACACTATTGTGGTCATTGAGCATAGCGCTTAGGTCCTCCAGCGATTCTGCCATAAGGACTATATGGTCGGCAAATCTAAGGCTAGTGATGTACTCACCATGGGTGTTAATACCGCATGCTTTAACGGTGGTAGAGCCACGCGGCAGTTTTTGCTGTTGCACGTATGGGCCGGCTCGAGCCGGGTTGGTTACCACGACCTCACAGAATACCGGCGTGAAGTAGACAACGACTACCCCGGGAAGGTTCCAGCACCCCTGGAGAATCCCTCGCTGAGCATCCACGACCATGTTATTCCACTCCTGAGCGTGGGTGCTCAGGCTGCCCCGCGTATTCTGGGGGGGGGGGGGGCAAAGCCGGCCTTGCTCTTTCTGACCGAGATGCAGGTGTCCTCTCCGGCTGATACTTCGTATCTCTCCTACCCGGGGTACAAATTGGAGCAGACCTTTGTGCCTTCTCACTTTATTCTATCCTCACCTGGGGCCCTGCCGTTTTTAAGGTGCTGGGGAGCCATTCTAATCTCGCTCAGACTGACTTAAAGTACTTCATCATGATGATGATGATTGTAATGATGAAGGACTTCAAGTACCAGTTTTCCACCGGCTTTCAAAAGCTCCGCTGTAATTCCATCCTCACCTGGGGCCCTGCCGTTTTTAAGGTGCTGCAGAGCCATTCTAATCTCGCTCAGACTGACGTTCGGGATATCTTCGGAATAGAGTGGGATAAGACTTGGATCGTTACTCACACTTGTTACGATCTAAGGTACAGCTGCCCATAGAACCTCTCAATCTCACTCAAAATCTCAGGTGTCCCGGAAACGACGCTACCACACTCGGGCTTCAGCTTTGACAATTGGCTCTTTCTGGCAGTCAGATCTCTGGCAAAGACTTTAGAGCCTTGGTTCCGATCGATCGCTTCTTCAGTACAAGCTGTATTGAAGTTGCGTAAGTCACGCCGTATGCATTTGGAGGTATGTCTGTTCAGTTGCCTGTATGCTGTCAAATCTGTTGTAAACTGTAGCATCATCTCCTGTCTAACAGCCATGAGATTAAGAGTGTGATCGGAGAGTTTTTGTGTCCTTCTGTGGCGGGTCTTGCAGAACTTAGCTCCAACCGCATGGACAGTTTTCACGAGCTTATCATTCATATCGTCCACTTCATTGCAGTCTTCTAAGCACTGAAAACGGTTTTGTAACTCGAGCTGAAAGGTTTCGGAACTTTAGAATAGAGCACGAGGGGGACGGAGCGTTGACTTCATTGGACGAGACCTCTCCAACTTAACGTTTAGGTTCAGTGTGCCTCTAACCATTCGGGGATCGCTACCAGTTTTCACCCTTGCGATCACGGAGACATCACTGAACAGTTGTCATCTGGTCGTCATAATGAAATCAATCTCATTTTTTGTCGAACCGTCGGGGGTCGACCAGGTCCACTTCCTGTGGGGAAGCCTCTGGAAGATAGGGTTTATTATAAAGAGTCCCTCTTTCTCCATGAAGTCTTCCAGCTGCTGGCCCCTTGGGTACCGTTGCCCTATACCAAATGTCCCTACTTTCAGCTCACCGTTCTCTCTTGTGCCTAGTTTTGCATTGAAGTCTCCCATTAACACACCGTTTGGTGATTCTGAGTATAAGGTACGCAACCCTCGTCGACACACTCTCAATCTTTACAACGGTGTTAACGAGAGACTTGTGGAAAATAAATCCGACACCTCCTCCGGACAGACCATCTGGTCGCCCTCCCGGTGATAGAACAAGTTGCCGGATTCGAGGATTACCGTGTCCTTCCCCTCTCTTCGGACCTAGGATATGTTATGCCAGCGTAAGACTATTTTACGTTACAATAAATGTTCAACTAGTTTGCCACCCACTCTGATGCCTCTTCATCTTCGAAAAACGCATCGCGAGAAGTCGCGTATAAAACCGCTCGTTTATTTTTTATGTAGCTCAGACACAGAGCTACGTAAATATTCTTGTAGTAAATATTAGTATTTAAAATTTAAATAAAACATGTCTTGGGTACTACTTTTGGGTACTATTTTAACTAATTTTGTACAGTCATTAGTTCTGCTTAAAGTCATTTAAAGGTCATTTACGTGGTACAGCCATGCTGCAGCTATATTACTAGTATAGTTGTAGCACAAATGGGTCGGCTCGACCGGCGAAGGACCACGCTCTCACAGAATACCAGCGTAAAATATCAGCTTAATAATGCTGTGTTTCGTATGGTGAGTGTAGAGAACCGGAGACCCTTTTTACTGGAAAAGAGGCATTCCATCTTAATCCTCACGGGTGACGACGCATCTGCATTAGGATTCTTTATTGAGGATAGATGTGGATGTCTATGGGTCACAGCAAGCACTTCTCATCAGGTGGACTGTGTGCTGGTTTGTCACCCTATCCTATAAAAAAGGTAATCCATTAATTGCCGGACAGCCAATATATATTATCGATATCAGACATAAATCGACAACTGATAAAATCGAACAATTTCTATAGATACATCAATATTAAATAAACAAGAAAAACGTAAAAATAGGCGATATATTTTTATCTCTGCCTTAATTTTACGTTCACAGGTGGAGAATATCTTAGACATGAAATTATTATGTGATCATCGTCATCTTTAATCGCCTTTACAAATCAACTGCTGAACATAGGCTTCTCTCAGTAAATGCCACAAAACAGTCCTGAGCCACCTGCGTTCATCGACTTCCTGTATGTCTTCTGAATACTGGGCTGCCCTATGGTAATAATGCTAATTTAATAAATATTAATATTTTATAAAAGATACTTACAGAATACCTTAGCGAGCGCAATATTCTCCAGAATGGAGAGTAAAGGCACAACAAATATGGCGGAACCGAGGGTGGAGGCCATCTCCATGAAGGTGTAGGTGTGGTTGCCCACCGTGGCCGAGAACGGAGGCAGTGACAGCTGCGGCAGTCCTGGTTTTACCTCGCCTGGAAAAGTTTAAGCCGATATTGATAAATATTAATGCCTTATTTGCATCTTTTATAAATTCAGCATAATAATATGTTTTCCTTCTTAAAAGATTTGTGGGTGTGACATTAGTTACGCAAATGTGAAATGAATTTTATATCACAAGAGCTCTGAAGCCCTCCCGGCTGGTCTCCACTTCTTTGGTTCGATGATGAAATGGAGAGGGATTAAGTGACGCAAAATAACTCATGAAACTTCTTACCAGTGAGTACGAAGGGTGTTTGCTTCTTGGTATCGAAGTAGTACGCTAGCCCAGCGCAAACCAGCACCACAAGGATGTTCCTGGTGGTGGAGAGGAACCACAGTGTTTGCGCGACGATGCTGCGGATTCGGCTGCCCTTTACACTCATATCTTCTGTGTTGACGCCTCCAGTTTTCTCTGTCAATCCTACTTTGATGTCTTTTACTTTCTGGAGGAAGAAATGAGAATATTATAAAACTTTTTGTTCTTTAAAAGTCCGTAACAGGCAACTGCTGGGCAGGCTCCCTATGCAGGATGGATTTGCCTCAATCACCAGGCGTGGCGTATGGATTACCAATGGCATTACCAAATGGTTTGTACATAGGTTTGGATAATTCTCATCTTTTATATAAGAGAATATATAATGTCCTCAAGACCGTATTTCGGTCACGGCGACCAGTGTCAACGGAGGCTAGCCATCTGCGTAGAACATGATTATAGTGCTTTGAATGCATGCATGAACACACGTGCACTCGCTATTCCTTCACTCTCATTTTCCGATGGGACGGCAAACCGACACGACCTGAGAGAGATCAGGTGCAGGACCAAGCAGCATCCACAGGGTGAAACACCGCCAACTTCCTGACTCCAGGCTGCTACTGAGAATTTCTTGACCGAAAAACCCAGTAACTGGTTTTGGCCCGACCCGGGATTCGATCCCGGGACCTCGTGACCAACAACCACGTTTGTGACCACTAGACCAACGAGTCAGTCGAGAGAATATATAATTAAACATGATATAGGCAGCAGCATCTTCCTGATAACAATTGAAAGTAATAAAAAGCTACGATGGCCAACCCGCGTACCAAGCGTGGCACCTGGCATAATTCCTCCTAGGAGAGAGACATGTTCAGCTGGCAACTTTTGATAGACTGTAATAGATAGATGATGGATATATGAGGTTGAATGCCGCACCTTTTAGAAACCTTTGGTCTTCCCATAATCGCCCACAACACTCACGGGACCAAATAATGTGATTGATTTCCATATCCGCCAACACACGTCTAACTTTATATACGTACTAGTTGTTCCCCGCGACTTCGCCCGCGTGTAATTTAAGGTTTTAATTTTGTTGCGCGGGACCCTATTATTTTTCTAAAATATATGTAGCCTAAGTTACTCCTTATAACATCAGCTATCTACCAGTGAAAGTGCCGTCAAAATCGGTCCAGCAGTTTCGGAGATTAGCTGGAACACTGGACACAAATTTTAAAAATTGTGTTTCTGTTATAGGTACCGTATATACTTTTATATGCAATTAGTAGAAAGCTGTTATTTTGACATTACAAACAGACACTTCAATTTTATTTATTTGTATAGATAGGGTTAAAAAAAGTATGTCTATCGGAAGGACTGGCCGTTAGTGTAATGGCCACGCCTGACTGATAGTTTAGCAATGATCCACGACTTGTTTCTGCTACTGCGACGGCGACACTTAAGATATAGGTAAAATATTTGTCATATTTCATAGCGAGGGAAGTTAAGTGTAAGAGTTAAGTGAAATGTTAGTTATATTTTATATTGATTAAATTAGAAATGGATAAACCCCACTAAGGATATTCGTAAAAGTAGAGGAATTAAAAAAAGTTTAAAATGTGGCGCGGAGGCAATGTTTTATGAATATACATACATCAGAAACCGAATCACTTCTTTTATAGAATAGGGTGACAAACGAGCACACAATCCACCTAATGGTAAGTGGTTGCTGTGACCCATAGACATCTACATCTATCCTCAATAATGAATCAAAATGCAGATGCGTCGTCACCCGTGAGGTCTAAGATGGAATGCCTCTCTTCCAGTAAAATGAGTCTCCGGTTCTCTACACTCACCATGCGAAACACAGTAGCGTTAAGCTGCTATTTTACGCTGGTATTCTGTGAGAGCGTGGTCCTTCCCCGGTCGAACCGACCCATTCGTGCCACAACTATACTACTAATATAGCTGCAGTATGGCTCTACCACGTATGCTTATAATTAATAACTTATAATTAATTTGCAACTTTTCAATGATGATGACACTGTGTGACCACCTGCGTAAGAAATAATTTCACCTCAGTCCCAACTAGCGACATCTGGTTAGCGTGAGATTGTTAACCCTCATCGCTTGTTTGTCTATCGCAAAGTTCACATAATTTATTAAACAAAGATTTTAATGACCCGTGGGAATGAGGTGATTGCTGCCATGCTATTTCTAATTTGCATTGAGTATTAGTTTTACGACAATAACTAATTACATACATACATATTTAACGAATAAAAGCCTAAATTACACTAAGGATGTACTATAGACACAAACAACCGGGTGATACTTTTAGGGACATAGATGTACATACTCGTATGGCCATGGCATTTATGACAGTGAATAGTTTTTCATTGGTCGTTATTAAAGAAATTTTGCGTTCACAATAGATAACTAACTAAATTAAATTATGTGTAAAAATCTAAAATGTTATTCATACCTGAACTAACTGCCAATGCAGAGATAATAAATCCACATGCAACTTGCAAATAAAAATTTACTTAAATTTTATATTTTTACCGTCGAGTTTTTAACCGTCTTCAAAGTATGTATGTTACGCGATATCTTCGTAGATTGTGAACTAATTTTGATATTTTTTTTATTAAATAGATTATATTTCATGGGTGGTCCTATATAAATTTGGGTAGCAAATAAATAACTTCTTTTTTAGCAATTTGAAGTCGGTTTTTACTAAAGATGAGACGTATTTACGCTACCAGGTTTTAAAACCAGGTATTCACTTCAAAGTACGGCGCCCTGGTACGAGCAAAAAATACTTGCAAGTATGAAAATACTTGCATAGGAAAATCATCCATATCTCAATAGCAGTAAGGAACTCAATCGTATTTGTTAACGAAAAATACTTAGTACTTCAAAGTATTTTTTTTTATTTATACGACTTTGCTCCTTATTCATAGTAGGATAACATGGAATACGGGTGAAATTCCTATGCAAGTATTTTCAAATTTTGACACCACGGCTGGACACGTCCCTCGCGTCGCAATGAGACGTATTTACGCTACCAGGTTTTAACTTTAAAGTACGGCGCCCTTTTACGACCAAAAAATACTTGCAAGTATGAGAATACTTGCATAGGAAAATGATCCATATCTCAATAGTAATAAGAAACTCAATCGTATTTGTGAATTAAAAATACTTTGAACTTGAAAGTATTTTTTTTATTTATACGAATTTGCTCCTTAGTCATAATAGCCTAACATGGAAAGCGGGTCGAATTCCTATGCAAGTATTCTTCCTTATATATTACTATACTCTTTGCAAGTATTTTCAAACTGACACCGCGGCTGGACGTAACGTCGCGTAAGTAGCTAGTAAGTAATAAGAATTATGTTTATATTCGGGGAAGTAAAAGTTTTGTTTCGATTTCTTGTAAATTCAATTATTATTGTGAACTGATTACGTAACCTACTGACCGTGACCTAATTTTTAAATAGTTATTTCGCGTGTATATTGAATTTAGAGACAGTTTTAAAACTTTTATTTATTAAAGCCGAAAAGTAGGAAAGAAAGATTTAATTTCGTTACCAAAAAAAATTTAAAAAGGTACAGTATAAATTTTGGCCCGAACCAAATTAGGCATTCATATATATATTGACATTAACAAATACTTTCCAGTATTTATAAAACCTGGTTTTCGACCCTGGTATTTTTCCATACTCGTACTTAGAAGCCCTGGTATGAAATTTTGCGAGTATGTCTCATCTCTATTTTTACTTTTTGTTATAAGTTTTAATTATTTAAAGTAAAGTTATTTCTATACGTTTAAGTACTGAATCTGATAACGCACTTAACGGTAACAAAGTTTATGTCACAAGTTGTGTATAGAACAAACCCCGTATTACCACCGTATAACCTTCGGAAAATTCAACGTCAAGCTATCGTCCTAAAAAACCTCTTGCATTTCACTCCCGAGTAAACAATGTCTGCAGCCTTGAACTCCTTCAAGCCAGCGCCTAGCGTTAGAAGGTTCAACGTAGCATTGGAATAACGCTTTCTGTTTTTATGTAAAACAACCGCAATCCTAAAAATCCCAAAGGGTCTGACATGTTAGGAAAAATCCTGACATATGGTATCTCTAAGTAGGCCAAACGCCACCACCCAGCTTGACGTACCGATATAAAAACCTCTTTGGTCTAGTGGTCGTCGTCGCGACTGGTGATCTGGGGGTCCCGAGTTAGACACCTGGGTCGGGTCAGTATCAATTATTGGGTTTTTCTGACAATGAATTCTCAGCAGCAGCCTGGAGCCACAAAGTTGGCGGTGTTACAACATCGTGGCTCTGTGGGCCACAGCTTCAAATCCTGCACGGAACGAGTGTTATGGCCTGCAAATAATTGTTGTCGATCTGTCCTTGTATAATTTCGTATGTAAAACGTCTTCCCTTAAAGAAAAAAGTAATTATGAACTTAAGTGCTTAAATGTAACTTGAATGAGCAATTTAGTTTTAATATCTTATACTGTGAGCGAAGGGACACCCGGACAACACGTAGCATTTATTTTGATAATGATGTCGAGATGCACTTTGTTAGTTTCCGCAATTATATTGAATGTTCGCGGGGTTGTCTAAACTGTGGCTTACGTTACGATTTTTTTAAAACGTTACCGCCACACTAGGATTTTCTCCGGTGTCGTGGAGGTAGTTTACATAAATAAATTCCACAAGGACAAGAATTATTTGTAACTCATACAAAAACTTGTTCCGTGCGGGATTCGAACCCGCGGCCCCTAGGCGCTGCGCTCATTGCTAAGTATCTGCGCCACGGAGCTGTCAAATTTTAAAATAATTGTTTTGTGATTATTTTTTTAATATACCTTGCTTTTTTGCCATATTCTTACATTGTCATCCGAATCTGAGCCGTTTTCAAAATTTCAAGTATCTAGCTCATTGTGAATTTAGTTTAAAATCAATCACTAACTTCGACCCGACTGTTACCGTTATAACACATAGAGCTCATAACACATAGAGCTCATAGGGAGGATATTTGCCATAGCTGCCACACTTGGCAAGCGGGTTGGAAACCGCAGGTTTTTATTTTAAGTCGTTATATTGGTATGGTGCCCATCTCCTGAGTGTTTCCCTCTGTCGCCTTTACGACACCCACGGGATGATATGGAATAGTGGATATCCTTACACCGTCACTACACGGTAAACAAAGTCACGAAAGAGAGTTAATAAAAACTGGCTTATTAGCCAGGGGCGAGGTGTTTTGTATCACCAACAGTACCACACTCCTAATAAAGGATTTTAATGACATTGCAGTCCCAGCTTGATATGTCGCCCATATTAAATTGTAAAGGGAAAACTACATTTTGTTAAATTAATAGTTCTGAATCTAGACAAAAATCCTAATAACGTCATCGTCATTATTACAGCCAATCAAAAGTGTAGTCTATATATTTCGTGATAAGGTTTATGAGCCACGATGGCTTGGCACGCAAAGTATGCCGACTATGGTTAGCAACCGGAGTTTAGTATTATTTTAAGTAGTCGTCAGTAAGATGCTCATCTCCTGTTACATTTCGTTCTGTCACAAACAAGAGATGATATTACGTATAATTATTCTATTTCACGAGGAAGTTTCGACTTTAGTTGTTGTTAGCCGTGTATATACACATTGTGTTAGTGTGCGTAGGCCTCGCGAGCGCTATTCCCTAGCAGCCGCAGCCTACACACACTAACACGATGTGTATGTGCACGGTTAACAACAACCAAATTCAAAACTTCATCGTGAAATAGAATAACTATAGTAGATTCTCTTACTCCGTCACTGCAGAAATCCTTTTGTTTTTTTTTTTTAAATGTGTAGCCTTTAGCTAAGCCTAAATATTATGTAATGTTAAGGTCAGTCAATAAGGGGCGTGTGGACTACCTAACACCTCTACTACACTACGCTGTTCACTTTTCACATAAATTATGATTATGTCACGAGTATGTTATTTTATGTTTTTATGTATGGGGGACAGAAATATCGTCCATGGACGCCTAAACAAAGAAGGCTACAAATGATTTACGATTTCTTATCTTATCCTGTGAGGATTAAGGTGGAATTTCCCACAGCCTGTTATAATTATACTAGCCTTCTATATTCTTCAGAGCGAAACACAGCAGTGCAAGCACTATTATTTGACGGCAGGAATATCGTAACCTAGTTAACAAAATTTCTTAAAAATATCAGGACTTCAAGTGACAACCCTACGTATTCAATCTTAATACTTAAGCGTATACTTAAAATGTAATTGCATAGGCATTATTTTTAATTGGCGGCCAGCAAAGATTCTTCTTGTCGCAGGAAGTGACTCACGCTCACAAATGTTTGAGTTTATGGGAGAGATAATTCTTAATCAGCCCTTTGTTACTGCTTAATACACAGATTTGATCATTAAAAAAAAGAATTCAAACATTAAGTTTGAAAAATATAAAAACATTAAACCTCCAGTTACGTACCGTAATCTTGTAGTGGCGGTGTAAGAATATACTTTAAATTGTAATTAACAATTTCATTGAGGCCGACGGAGATCGGTCCAGACCGTTTGCTTGCTGAAAAATTTACTCGTTTTGGCGTACCCTGAGCTACTATGACTATTCATCTTCCAGAAATGAGAAGAGAGACTTATGGCACTCTCTTGAACTTACATGTGTAATTTTACTTTGTAATTTAAGCAAAGAAAGGAGATGGGAATGGGAAGGAAGGTTCTAGAGGAGACCACGTATTCCAGTCCAGATGCAGTACGACTTGACGAAGTATGCTGGTCTAGATGGATGCAAGTGGCTCAGAACTACGATTTTTCAGCAGTGGACTTGTGATAAAATATCATTATTATTTTTCGTCGGTAATCAATAAAAGTTCATTGGACCTGTCGTTGGTAGGGAGGATTTGAAAATATAATTGCTTAAATCATTTAATAACAATTTTGTTACCCCACTGCTGCAGGAGGCTAAGCTTTTTCGATAGTATGTATGTATGTATGTCCTAGTTCTTTGACACGCTCTGTGGCCTAAACAGCTTGATGAATTTTAACATATGAAGTGTGCTTGATTCAACTTAAATGGGGGAGTGAGATAGGCTATATATATAAAGGGAGGGGAAGTGTTTTTTTTTTACGCATTTGGGTTTTTAAATTACTGTTTTAACAATTTTTAATAGCGCGTGGAGTGTATGTCAAGGCAAAAGAGAAGTTATACCAGTTGGAAAACGACTGCCACGTCACTTCGGAGTTGTATATCTATCCCGTGTAGTGTCGGTGTAAGATTATTCACTACCCCATATCGACCCGTGGGTGAGGTAAGAGACGACAGAGGCAAACAAACCAGGAGATGGGCAGCAGCTTCTTCCTGATAACAACTCGAAATAATAAAGAACTGCGGCTGCCAATCTGCCTGTTTAGCGTGGCAACTGTGGCAAAATCCTCCCTATGAGGAAATCTGTGGGAGAGACCTATGTTAAGCAGTAAACTTTTATAGGTTGTAATGGAATGGATGGATTAAAGTCGTATTCCTGGAAAAACATGTTAGGCTGTCTCGATCACATACCCTTAGCAGAAGTAGGACTACTATGCAGGAGACGCCCAGCACGGTGTCCCACAGCCGCGTCTCGCCTATATGCTTGTACAGTCCTGTCCACACCTGGGAAATGTAAAAAATCATTAGTATGCATTTTAAATAATATATTTAGGGAAGAATTTCAAATTATTGCAATTCATACAAATGTGAACTTAAATAACTTGAGAATAACCTCGGTTTTCGAATCACAAATATTGTTCAAAACGTCCTAAAACTATCTTAGTTGCAATAGAAATAAAACTTTTTATGATGGGAATTAAGTTTAAAAATGCAAAGCAATAAAAAAAATCATGCTCCGCGACCGTGCATTAGAGATGTCATAAGAGTATTCACTACCACAGACCGATGGAAATGAAATATGAGGTGGTTAGCAGCATATACCAATAACAACTGCGGTTGCCAAGAATGGCAACTATGACAAATATAGGGGGGATTTTGTATAGAAGTAATCTATGAGGAGATTTTGTGCAGCAGTGGACTTTTGTTAGGTTTACAACCTATGAGTGAAAAAAAATATGCACAAAAGAACATATCGTAGATGCTTCGGGAAGTCTGCAGCTTGTCAACATGTTCAGGATCGTCCCAAAAACTGTATCAGATTTGATAGAACACAAATCGTCGCAAAATTATAAAAATTAAAAAGAAACATCCTAATTTCAATAGAGAAGATAACTGGGTACTATCTGCTTGGGATCGTATAATTATTAAAATGATATCCAAACCAAAGCATACTACTGCAGGACTTCAAGTAACTGTAAGCACGTTCTGCGTAGATTAGACCAAAATTTAATAATTAAAAGTTGATTATAAATTTTTCGTTAACAATGACATCAGAACGTCAAACAGCTCAGTCCCCTCGTGACCATGGGACCTGAAATGTCCGGATTTTAAAAAAGTTAAAATTAAACGCTTACAAATTACGTTAAATTATTTTTAGTCCATGTGTAGTATTCGCGTATATATGAGAAATCATGAGATAAAAATTTATTCATCCATTTTTTTTAATATGATAGGGTGACAAACGAGCACACAGTCCACCTGATGGTAAATGGTTGCTGTGACCCATAGACATCTACATCTATCCTCAATAATGAATCAAAATGCAGATGTGTTGTCACCCGTGAGGACTAAGATGGTCTAACTAAGTCATTACTAAACCACATTTATACGTGGTAGAGCCATGCTGCAGCTATATTAGTAGTATAGTTGTAGCACGAATGCGTCGGCTCAACCGGGGAAGGACTACGCTCTCACAGAATACCAGCGTAAAATAGCAGCTTAACACTGCTGTGTTTCGTATGGTGAGTGTAGAGAACCGGAGACCCTTTTTACTGGCAAAGAGGCATTCCATCTTAGTCCTCGTCGGTGACAACGCATCTGAATCTTGAGTATTTATTGAGGATAGATGTAGATGTCTATAGGCCACAGCAACCATTTACCATCAGGTGGACTGTGTGCTCGTTTGTCATCCTATCCTATAAAAAAGGACTTTTAGAGAATTATAAAGAAGAAAAGAAAATTTTGTGGCCTGTCTGGAATCCTATGTTCAAAATCTATAATAAATGACAACATTATGTTTATAGTTATGTATAAATGGGAATAAGGTGATCGCTACCACGCTGTTCCTAATTTAAACATAATTAAATTGACGATTTCTTGATGGTTCTTCCCAGGACAGAGCTATTTCCTGAACCGGTGGTAAAGATTATATAACTTTAAATAAGTATTCTTATAATCTTGTAGAATAAAAATGATTCTATTATATTCTATAAATTTAACATTATCTTATTTGTAAACTGCTACAGGAAATGAATTGATAAGACGCGTGGATTATGCAATAATGATTTCAAAACGTAGTTGCAAAGTTAGTACTGAGCTAACAGACGCAGAAGGTCAATAGAAAGTATGCGATTGACACAAAAACATTCAATTACATTGTGTCTAGAAAAAAAAAATCTAATAACTTAAATTTGAATTAGCAATAAAGTCCATGATTGTTATATTGGAACATTCTCGATAAGTCTAAGGTGATTTTTTATTTATAACTAAGTATAATTCTCTTCTAATCTATGAAGCATGTTGCCATTTCTGTTAAATTATATAACGATGTATAATATAGTAGTTTTATGAATACACAACGAATTGCTTGTGCTGACGTTATAGTTAACAAACCCGCATTAAGAATTTTAATTAACACAATTACCTACATATTATTTTTAGGTTTATTAACTGCTAATTATACGTGTAAAATTATAAAAATAAAAATGCATTAATAATTATGTTATTCTGTATAACTTCCTTAATATTTTACTTATTTTACTTTTTTTATTTAAGGAAAACATACAGCTATAATAATACATAATTAATGTTTTAATTAAGTGTTTGATAAAAAATATTTATAATTTTTTTGAGATTGTTTACAAAGGTATCTTCTGTATGAATAATAGAAAGGAATACCTACATAACATAGTTAAGTTCAATCCGATCAAGTCCGGTAATATAAATATTAAAGCAGCATTCCAATTATAAAACACGATAAACAAAATTTACAAACTACAAAACAACAAGCAAATGAAGACACAATCGATACTAGAATAACATAAGGTACTTATATATTCATAATCTTTTTTAATTTTTCTCGTTAATTATTATTTATTCTTCTTTATTCTAGTACGATATTATTATTCTAGTGGGGATGGCAATTTTGGGGTTTTCATTCGCAAAAGTTGCATTAAATCCGAAAAAAGTAACGATTTTATACTTTGTTTTTTACTTCCAAAATTAGATCCTTGACAAAAAGAAGGGTATCAAACTGGATGCTGTGATCCATAGACATCTACATCTATCCCCGATTAAGAATCAAAATGCAGATCAATTACCGCCCTCTGTCATGGTATGTATGCCCTGCCAGTGAAAAGACTGAAAAACAACCCGGTTATCCTTTTAGTAACATAATATAGATGTTAATATATGCTTGGCGTTTATGACAGTGATTTTTGTGGTCGTTTTTAAAGGGATATTTGTGTTCACAATAGGTAACATACTACATTAAATATTTTGAAAAAAATGTTATTGATATCTGAACTAACTGACAAGCATATCAGTGAAATGAGGGTCTTTGAAAATAATCTTACTCCCCGACCAATGCAGAGGTAATAATCTCACATACAGGGTTATTTTGCAAATTTCAGAATAAGTGATATAGGCAAATTGGTAAAGAAAACTTATTAAAAAAATCTCAAACTTTCAGTCCTTTTTATCCTTTAAATTCAGAACGCGTGTTAATGCATTATTTTCACAGATTGTCGTTCATAATATCTAACGCCTATTTTACTACGCACGCACACATTCGTAAGGGTCGCTCGATCGGCAAAAACGTTGTGAATTGAATCGCACACTGAGGAGCGCACGTACGCGTAGTTGTTGCCCATAAATCACATTCAATTTGGGATAATTTCAAATAAAAGTAGAAGCCTTATTTACTTGTATTTTCAAAAACTGCAATAACGGTATATTATTATTTATGTATTTTGGCTACTCTTTGAAAAATAACTATGCATAATTTGCAAATAAAAATTTAATAAGTAACAGAAACCACAAGGTTTTTTACACGTTACATATAAGTGTTTGAAGACTTTGGAATGCAGTAAGAGATTTAGTACAACTGATGTGTATATGTAGAGCTAAAAAATTGCACATGTGTCACATAAATGACAGTAAAGGGAGTTAAATTATTGTTTATTTATTTATTTATATTTGTTATAGTGAAGTTATTTTGATGATAAAACAAGTAAATAAAACTACACTTTAAACGTATTCAGCAAGTTGCGTTTACAGTCATAATACGATACACCGTATACCTACCAAATTATACATAATTTTGTGGGTCAGGTAGTCACGACATCTCGCAGTCATCTACGTAACGTAATGTTGTTCATTGAAATGTGTTTTATTGTATGTTGCATGCCTAAAGCGCGAAGCGTATAGGATGTACTACTAGGGCCTAAAAACCAAGATTCCAACGTTTTGTCGCATGAAATCGTATCTAACAATTATATTGTAGATATAAATGATATAAAAAGCTCATTGTCAGAAAGTTAAATGATTCTTGAACTTATTAATTTTTTTTAAATCGATTAGTTGCTATTTTTACATAAAAAAGTGGTTTTAGTGGATTATAGTGTGGATTTATCAAGGGGGCATTAGGGGCAACCACGAGAACTTTTGAAAATATAAGTTTTTCAACTCAGTCTAGTTTTTAATCTCTTCACCTATCATATGGGAAACCATGGAATGTAAACGGCAGTTTAATTTTGTTTTGTTTAGTTATAATTATTTTTTTTCGGCTGAGATATTCCAAAATTTTCGGTATTTTGAGCAGCCTTGTCATAATTTATTTTACTAAATAGACTGCCTCACTCACTCACTTCGGGGCCAGCCTCAACCGCCGTCGTGAGTGGACACTGTATCGGTTGTTTACAACGGCTCGTGCTCAAAAAGATTGCTGTACAAATACAAAATATTCGAAAAACCAAATTTGATACATATTTGATTATTATTATAATCACAGATTTTTATTACAATATATTAAAAGCACAGAATAAAGTAAAGTAAGTAGGATTTATATATAAATATACTTAAATACGTCTTGGAATTTATGGAGTGACCTGATTGATGATATAATAATCATACGAGCATTATGAGTCGTGCAATTATGAATTTTCCAAACTTTTTTATTTTGAAGTTTGACAGAAAATTATCGGAAAATTGTAAGTATAACAATAACGTTATTAGTGAAAATTTTGTGTGTATTTAAACTGCTTTAAAGAATTTAAACGCTTAAGGCATGCACAACTGGATTTACCGATAGTTTTTAATTCATTCATCGGTTACAGATTATAGAGTAACTTTCTTCAATTCGCCTATTGTTTTTGATTTTTATTTATAAAAATAGCTGAGTAATCCAATAGTCCTTAGTAATTGAAACTCAGACAAAATTCTTTTTAAAAACAATTTTTAATTAAATCTAAATTGGTCAAGGTATTTTAAAACATTTGTTTTATGAAGTATTGTAGTTATGAAGTTTTTTTTATTTAATTGCCTTTATTTAAAGTTGGCTGCACGTGTTCATGGGCTGCAGTAGCCACTTACCATCACTCTTTTTTAAACGAAAGGGTTTTGCTACAGTTATAACGCTTGGCAGGCAGGTTGGCAACAATAAGTAATTATATAAAATAGAATAAATGCACCTGCAGGAACTTCCCGCCAGGGAAGCTGAGGCCGAGGATATCCTTGACCTGTGTTGTAGCAATGATGATAGCCGCCGCAGACGTGAAGCCCACCGACACCGGCCCGCTGATGAAGTCGATGAGAAACCCTGGGGAAAAGCAAATCTGTTTCAAAAGGAAATTATTTCAAGTTAAAATTTTTGTGAATGGGAATTATGTCTATCGGTGATAAAAGAGCTGCTGGTGATCCAGCGATAACGGAAAACCCATCCAAAAACATTAAAACAAAATTCCATAGACTGTTGATATATCACCACGAGGATAGAAAGTATTTCGTACATTGTATAGCCTCGTCGCAATATATTACTTTCACGAATTGGTCAGCTCGACCGAGGTCTCGAACCCGAACGAGGAGGACTCGAACCACACTCGCACCGAAAAACAATGTGAAGTAGAGAACCGGAGATCCCTTTTATGATTCCGTACCCAAAGGGTAACCAACGGGACCTCATTACTAAGCCTTCGCTGTCCGTCCGTCCGTCTGACAGCGGGCTGTATCTCATGATACATAATAGGTAGACAGTTGAAATTTTCACAGAATGTGTATTTCTGTTGCCGCTATAACAACATATAATAAAAATAAAAATTAATTTGTGATTGATTTGTGAGTGAATGATTACAGGTGACCAACATAGCCCAACGGATTAGTAAGCTGAAGTGGCAGTGGGCCGGTCATATAGCTCAAAGAACCGACAACCGACGGGGAAGAAAGGTTCTTGAGAGGCAGCCTCGTACCGGTAGGCGAAGTGTAGGGCGACCCCCCACGAGATGGAGTGACGACCTGGTAAGACATGCAGGAAGTCGATGGATGCAGGTGGATCAGGACCGTGCTTTGTGGCATTCCTTGGGGGAGGCCCATGTTCAGCAGTGGACTAATGAAAGGCTGTAATGATGATGATGATGATTACGGGTGACAGCGCATCTGCATTTCGATTCTTTATTAAGGATAGATGTAGATGTCTGTGGGTCACAGTAACCACTTATCATCAGGTGGACCGTGTGCTCGTTTGTCACCCTATCCTATAAAAAAATTTAAAGTGGCTCACCTAGTAGAAACGTGTATTACGGTGGTATGGAACCCTTCATGCGCGAGTTATTTACTAATATAGACATTCACTTATTGGCCTGCTTTGTCTGGAAGATATAAAAAGCCATTCCATTTTCGACCTCAGAGGTGACAAAGGGTCAGTAACCTTCCATGGACTGCAGTAGTTACTTAGCATCAGATATAACTTATAATAATGATAGGTATGTATACCATTATTTATATATTTGAACTTAAATTTAAAATTTGCCGACTCTTTGAAAAATAATCCTGTATAAATCATAACGGATCCGTGGCGCAGTGGCTTAGCAATGAGTTGCAGCAATGAAGGCCACGGGTTCGAATCCCGCACGGAACAAGTATTTGTATGGCCTACAAGTAATTGTTACGGGTCTGAATGTTTGTCCTTGTGAAGTTTATGTATGTAAACTGCCCCACGATACAGGAGAGAATCGTAGCGTGGAGATAACGTTTTTATAAAAAATATAAAAATTTCGTTCGTCACTTAGTTTAAAAAAATTATGAATTTAGATTGTTCATGGGGAAATTTAATTTTAAGAGTGTGGTGACATCTGTTTTATTATAGTATAATTTACGACGCTTTTGAATAGGTAATGACATGATCATTATTCGCGGCATATTTCCGCGTATGAATTAGCTGCGGTGTTGTAAATGATGGCAGAATTACGAGATCCAAGAACACGTAAAATTACCTGCTATTGTTTTGTTTAAATATTAAGACGGAAATTATGTACATACTTATTCGTCACGCGTGTTATCCCCGAGAGTGTAGGCAGAGACGAAAGAGCAGCGAGCCGCTCTAATCACGATTAGAAAAAAAAATAAGGGTATAGATGGAAAATTGTGAAAGAGATAGAACTCTGACATCCAGGCCTTTTACTACATAACGTACTTTTTTACCCTTTTGTTTGTTATAAGTCCTACAAAAAGATGGAGGACCTATAGTCCCAGACTTGGTACAATTCATCGAAACATCGGTAAATACGAGATGAAATATTTGCGTCAATGGTGAGTCAGTCAGCCGAATAGTGCCGCCGTAATAGAATCACCATAATATTTAATACCGTGGCTGTCATAAGACACCTAGAAATAATAAAAATCTGTGGTTACGAACCTGCCTGCTGTCTGTGGCGTGGCAACTACGGCAAATTGCATGATTGATGATGATGGAATTAAGACAATAGTGGGGGAGGCCTATGTTTAGCAGTGGACGTTTGATAGGCTGCAATTAAATTAAAAAAAAAAAACAGTGTGAACAAAGATATTTATTGCGGAACCAAATCGTTACTGTTTTTTTTTTATTGTATAAGGGTGACAAACGAGCACACAGTCCACCTGATGGTAAGTGGTTGCTATGGCCCATAGACATCTACATCTATCTTCGATTACGAATCAAAATGCAGATGCGTTGTCACCCATGAGGACTAAAATGGAATGCCTCGTTTCCAGTAAAAAGGGTCGCGGGATTATCCCGCGATTCCTTGCAATCGCAGAACTCATCGGCTGAGAATAAATAATAATAAATAATGTCCTCCAGACTGAATTTCAGTCACAGTGACCAGTCTCAACGGAGACTCGCCATCTGCGTAGTATAGGATTATAGTGCGCAAGCACAGGTGTGCTCTCTATTTCCTCACTCTCATAGTTCGATGGGACGGTTATCCGACATGACCGGAGAGAGATCACGCGCAGGACCAACGGCTTTACATGATTTTCGAGTCACAAGGGTGAAACACCGATAAATTGACTCCCGGCTGTTACTAAATTTCTTGACAGAAAATACAATAACTGATTTTGGCTCGACCCGGAATTTGAACCCGGGACTTCAAGATCAGTAACCGCGTTTACGACCACTATACTAACAAGGCAGACGACTGAGATAACTGAAGAAGTGTAGGTTTATTTTTGTAATAAAAATATAGCTAGAAATTTCATTGTATATGATTTTTTTTCATTATTACGAAGTTTGCTACCATTGATTAATACCATTAAAACGTTAATTGAAAAAAGAGTAATTGCGTTAAGCAGCAATCAGTCTAACGTAACGCAGTGTGTACTTACTGCTTGAATGATTATTATAAATTTAATTGGAAGAACTCTGTAGTCACGGTGCCGCGTAAGAGAGACCAAGTTCTAACAGAATGTCAGCATGAAATGGCACAATATTGCTGGTCTTTATTGTAATGAGATATTCCATTTTAGCCCTTGCCTATGCCTTTTGATTCGTAAACGTAAAATAGTAAAATCTATAAAAAAAACAATAGGTTACATTAAACATACGTCGTACTTTTGAGGACATGTTCCTCTTATTCTGAGAGGGCTTTATAGAGAAATTTATAGAGAATTGTGTACGACAAATCACTTTAATACTTTATACGTGTTAGAGCCATGCTGCAGCTATATTATGGTTCGAATGGGTCGGCTCGACCGAGGTAAGGCCACCACGCTCTCACAGAATACCAGCGTAAAATATCAACTTAATGCAACTGTGTGTCATATGGTGAGCGTAGAGAACCGGAAACCATTTTTACTGGAAGCGAGGCATTCCATCTTAGTCCTCAGTGGTGACAACGCATCTGCATTTTGATTCTTAATCGAAGATAGATGTAGATGTCTATGGGCCACAGCAACCACTTACCATCAGGTGGTCTGTGTGCTCGTTTGTCACCCTTATCCTATAAAAAACTAAAAGAAAGACAAAGAGCAGGAGAGGGGGGAGTGTTACAATCTGATTCTTGATCGAGGATAAATGAAGATGTCTTTGGGCCATAGCATCCAATTACCATAAGTTGAACTGTGTGTTCGTTCAATACCTTAGTCATCAATAGCTAATGAGGGAGATGACGACCACAACATGTAACTGTTCACAAACAGGCCGCTCCCAAGATGGAAAAAGTATAATATTAAACAAAATACAAACTCACCGAGTTGTAGAATTCCCATTATTAACTCTACGCAGCCGGAGAGGAAGGCCAGTAGCACTGCGAACTCCGGCCCCAATCCGTGAAGGTTCTCTCGCGTCAAGATGGCAGCGATGGCAGTGGGACCAATCGCAGAGTCCTTCACGGAGCCGAACACGGTGTACACGAAGCACGCCATGAACGAGGAATAGAGGCCATACTGTGGTGGTAAACCCGCCACCCCAGCGTATGCTATAGCTTGTGGTATGACTGTGAGACCCACTGTTACACCTGGGGACAACAAATATTTATAGTAAGACAGAAATTTTATACAAATAGAAAGATATATTTTTGAATTCATACAAGAGAAGAAAGGTTCTCGAGGTTTTTTTATTGGTAAGTAGATGCGAACCCAACTGATGATAAGTAGATGCTGTAGCCTATAAGCGTCTACATTTTTCCTCAATTTAGAATCAAAATGCAGATGCGTTGCCATTCCTGGAAACCAAGATTCAATGCCTCGTTTCCACTAAAAAGGGTCTTCGGTTCTCTACACTTACCAAACGAAACACTGCAGCACGGAGCTGCTATTTTTACGCTGGTAATCTATGAGAGCGTGGTCTTACCCCGTTTGAGCAGACCCATTCGTGTAAGGCGACTCTCCACTAGATGGAGTGACGACCTGGTAAGATGTGCAGGAAGTCGGTGGATGCAGGTGCCTCAGGTCCGTGCTTTGAAGCATTCCGTTGTTCAGCTGTGGACTTGTCAACGGCTGTAATGATGATGATAAATTATAAATGCCTTACTAGGTGGTAGGACTCCTGTCTAGGAGTCCGCCTGGAGAGGTTCCGTTCTAAAGGGTATAGAGAACCAGTACAATCACGATAATACTATAATAATCAAAAATTTTATATGAATATTTCTCAAAAATAAGATTAGAAATAGATTTTTTCTTCAATATACATGGTTATATTTTATAGTGATCCTGCTTTTATATCTTTAAGTAGTTATAGTGACAAGTAGCCTATTACAGTGTAATAACACTGAAAAATCACCTGTTACAGTGTAGATAATACATAATATAACTTTAACTTATTCTACAATAACTCATCTCCTAGATTGACAAATCTTTCCAGATTTTCAGCTATGAATTGTTTATATATACGCTTTCAAATAGTCCTACTTTCATCTTGTTAACAATTGGGCCCTATAATGTATGGAGAAGGTTCAAAATAAGTAATATAAGCAAACGGTGAAGAAAAATTAATGAATATTTACTTAACTTTTAATGTTTCAAATTCAAAAAGAGTGGTAATATTTAAATAGAATTTATTTTAGGTAACTTCTTTTTGTATCGTAAGAGGCAACAGAGGGAAAATGGGCAGAAGATGGGCAGCAGCATCTTTCTGATAACAGCAATAAGGAATAAAAAACTGCAGTTGCTAACCCGCTCGCCAAGCGTGGCAACTATGGCAATATACCCCCGATGAGCAACGACACAAATAAACGGTCCCCAGTTGGTGGCGACCATGGTAACGGCGGAGTAGCGGGGTGCTAAGAATCTCCGGTGGAGGTTCGGTTACCACCTATGACCACTTGACTAGGGCGACGGAACCCAAGGGGCCAGCAGCTGGCCGACTTTATGGAGAAAGAGGGACTCTTTATGGTGAACTCTTTCTTCCAAAAGCGGCCCCACAGAAAGTGGAGCTGGTCGAGCCCCGACGGTTCGACAAAAAATGAGATTGCCTTCATTATGATGACCAGAAGACAACTGTTCAGTAATGTCACAGTGATTGCGAGGATGAAAACTGGCAACGATCACCGAATGGTGAGAGGCACACTGAACCTAAACGTTAAGTTGGAAAGGTCACGTCTAATGAAGTCAACGCTCCGTCCCCATCGTGCTCTAATCCAAAGCCCCGAAAACTTTCTGCTCGAGTTGTCAGTGTCTGGGAGATTGCAATGAAGTGGACGAATTGAATGACAAGCTCGTGGAACCGGTGCATGCAGTCGGAGCTAAGTTCTGTAAGACCCGTAGCAGAAGAACACAAGAACTCTCCGATTACACTCTCAATCTCATAGCTGTTAGACGGTAGATTAAGCTGCAGTCTTCAGCAGGTTTGACAGCATACAGGCAACTGAACAGACAGATCTCCAAATTCACGTGGAGGGACTTGCGCAACTTAAATACAGCTCGTATTGAAGAAGCGATCGAGCGGAACCAGGGCTCCAAAGTCTTTGACAGAGGCTCTTTCTGGAGATAGATGTCTGCCAAAAAAAGCCAACTGGTGAAGCAAAAGACCGAATGTGGCAGCATCGTCTCCGGGCCTCCTGAGATTTTGAGTGAGATTGAGAGGTTCTATGGGCAGCTGTACACGTCATTGTTTGAGCCACACGCAAGTGTGAGTAACGATCCAAGAGCACGTCTGATATCCCGGACGTCAGTCTGAGCGAGATTAGAATGGCTCTCCAGCACCTTAAAAACGGCAAGTTCCTGGGTGAGGATGGAATTAAAGTGGAGCTTCTGAAAGCGGGTGGAAATCCGGCACTTAAAGTCCTTCAGAAGTTCGGGAGATTACAACACATCTTCTCGTCAGGTATACCTCAAAACCTCAAAATTAAATTGTACAACCAGTGCGTGTTGCCAGTTATGAGCTATGGATCTGTGACGTGCTCCTTCACTGTTGGCCGTATGAGGAAGCTCAAAGTAGCTCAGCGAGCTATGGAGAGAGATACTCGGCGGTTCTCTGCGTGATCGATTTAAAAACGAGGATATCCGCAGTAGAACCAGAGTGACTGGCTCAGCCCAAAGGATTAGTAAACTGAAGTGGCAATGGGCCGGCCATAAAGCTCGAAGAACCGACAACCGATGGGGAAGAAAGGTTCTCAAGTGGCAGCCTCGTACCGACAGGTGAAGTGTAGGGCGTCCCCCCACTAGATGGAGTGGCGACCTGGTAAGACATGTAGGAAGTCAATGGATGCAGGTGGCTCGGGACCGTGCTTTGTGGCATTCCTTGGGGGAGCCCTACGTTCAGCAGTGGACTTGTTAAGGGCTGTAATGAATGAATGAATGAACTTTTTTTCTCATGGATGAACACTTTGGATTCTTAATGAAAGATACCCAGATATAATTCTTTATAGGCGACAGCTAGATATAAGTTGCCAATCCTACAATATAATATAGTACAAAGAAAAACCTTCATCGCAGCTAATATGTCAATTTGAATATAAAATAATACAACGTCGTATCTCCTCAGTTTCAAGGCACTCCCCTTGTTGCCTCAGCCAGTATCGGAATCCTCGATGTCGACATATCGAGTGACGTGCAGTTTCGTGGTCACTTGGAAGAGAAGGCCAAATTGGCCTCTAAAAAGCTTGACGCGCTCAGCAGAGGGGGACAGTATTTCATGCGGGCACACCGCTTGCAACTTTACAAGGCGCAGGTTCGGCCTCACATGTAATACTGTTCCCATCTCTGGGCAGGGGCTCCCCAGTGCCAGCTCCTTTCACTTGACCGCATCCAGCGCAGAGCGGTTGGAATCGTCGACCGAGTTCTTTCCGATCGACTTGACTCACTGGCACTGCGTAGAGATGTTGCATCTCTTTGCGTATTTTATCGCATGTATCACGGGGAGTCCTCTGAGGAATTGTTCGGACTAATTCCAGCCGCTCACTTTCACCATCGCACATCGTGACAAAACTCGCGATACCATCCATACCATCTGGACGCCAATCAACCATCTGGATGATTGGCGGTCCACCACTGTGCGATTTAGAAGAAGTTTTCTCCCTCACACAACTTCCTTATGGAATCGATTACCACCAGCGATTTTTCCGGACCGATACGACTTAGGACATTCAAGAAAAGAGCCTACTCCTTTTTAAAAAGCCGGCAACGTATCTGCAATTCCCCTGGTTCTGGTGTTCAGTGTGCTTGTTTGTCTTAACTGGCAAGTTGACAAGCTGGTCGACAAGTTTTTGAACGTGGTAGACCGATGCTGCAGCCATATTAATTGTATAGTTGTAGCACGAATGGGTCAGCTCGGCTGGGGAAGGACCACGTTGTCACAGAATACTAGCGTAAAATAGCAGCTTAATGCTGCTATATTTCGTATGATGAGTGTAGAAAAGAGGCATTCCATCGCCCTCACGGCTGACAACGCATCTGCATTCTAATTCGCAAACGAGGATAGATCTAGATGCCTATGATCCACAGCAACCACTTACCATCAGGTGGATTGTGTGCTCGTTTGTCATCCTTATCCTATAAAAGCACTGCAGTTTTTTTCAGTTTTAATCATCTCTTGTCTGGAAGATGCTGTTACTCATTTCCTGATTCAGTTTCTCTCTGTCATCTCTTAGGACACCCACGGTTTATTTATACCGCCACTACACGATTCATAGTCATGCGGTGACGGATTAATATTGCTATTGTTACAGTTTTAATGTTGTATGTATTATCCGACGATGAATGGACATTGTCGGATGTCAATATCCAGTTGTAACCGACGCACGCCGCGATGGTAGCGGTATTGCAACGCGACCGGAAGTCACAAATGGCAGCGTAGTGTTTAGCGTAACAAGGCTAAACGATGAACGATATCTGAACAGTTTCTATGTAATATATATATACGTGACCATGGGTACTGTAAAGTACTTGAAACGTCGGTTTTTGAACGAATGGGTCAGCTCAAACGGGGAAGGACCACGCTCTCACATAATACCAGCGTAAAATAGCAGCTTAATACTGCTGTGTTTCGTATTGTTAGTGTAGAGAACCGGAGATCCCTATTTACTGGAAGTGAGGCATTCTATCTTAGTCCTCAAGGGTCACAACGCATCTGCATTTTATTCATAATCGAGGAAAAATGTAGATGTCTATGAGTCACAGCATCAACTTACCATCTGATGGACTGTGAGCTATAAAACTACTATAAAAAAATATCAAAAAAAGTGGTAAAATTAAAAATGTTATACAACCGACTTCAATATAAATCACCAAGGAGAACTCAAAAACTATTGGTAAAAACTTGATCAAATTTACATGGGACCACATGAGAAGCACAAGCTTTCAAACAAAAAAAGAATCATCAAAATCGGTTCACCTTGAAAAAAGTTATGAGGTAACACACATAAAAAAGAACATACAGTAGAATTGAGTACCGGCTCCTTTTTGAAACCGGCAGAAAATGGTTGAAACTTATTAGACATGATGAACCTCATTTGCCAGAAAAATTCTGTGCCGATCGCATGTTTCATGTTGTTCCAAATTTTCTCAAATTTTTAATTAATATTCTGTCTTATAGTTCATATATCCATCCATCCATTATAGGCTATAAAAGTCCACTGCTGAACGTAGTCCTCCCTCTTTTTTGCTTGCTTTTTGATTGCTTCATAGATAGATTTAGCCATAGTTGCCACGCTTGCAGGTGGGTTGGCAACCACAGTTTTTTTTTATTTTGAATTGTTATGAGGAAGATCTACTGCCCATCACCTGTTACAATTTGTAATTCAATAAATAAATGATTATTATCAAATTGATATTAGATAATGTGTAGTGTAGTGTAGGGTAGTGGCGGTGTAACTATTTGCACTACCCCACGTTCCTTGGGTATTGTAAGAGGCGACGGAGAGAAACAAACAAGGAGAGAGGCAGAAGCGTCTTTAAAAAAAATTTATCTTTGTTAGATCTCATTTTATGCGCTGATATACAGTACATTAGATTGCGGTAAAACTTTGTCAACTTATTGCTTGCACTTGCGCTTAGGTTATACACAGTACAATTAACTTACACTAGGTGGCGCTCGTATCGTACCGACTAATTTATTTGAAAGTTATTTATCGTTCAACTTCAATGAATGTATTACCATTCCTAATTAAACTATATCTCTTCCAAATTAGAAACGATATTTACACGATTATTTCTTCTCTGGCAGCAACGCGCCGTGTAACAACTAGTAACAACTATAAACTAAAAGACTGCTATTACCCATCGCCTGCCATGCGTGGCAGTTATGACAAATATCTCCGCTATGAGGTAATCTGGAGACCTGTGTACTGTAGTGGACTTTTAATACCGTACCGTTATCAATTTGAGATATCCGCAGAGCCTCGTACGTCAAATACGCACATACACCATACACCCCCACATTATTGCTATTTGTTTTAAGCATTTCAACATGAAATCCGACACGGCGCGAATCGTTTGCGAAACTCCGCACCAAAGTTAACATCTGCGCCAATAATGCAGTTGAAAAATACCAATTTCACGCCTCGATAGCGACGCTGTTTTGAAATAGAAAACGCGCTTTTTTTCACAAGGACATAGAGACTACAGTCCTTTGTCTCTAGACAGGTAACGTTGATGCAATACGCGAAATAACGCAAAATTGTAGCGGGGAAAATTATTTCGAGTCAATGAACTTTGGTTTCTATTTTGTGTTCTGTACCGAATACTTGCAAAAAGTTGATGACTTGCTACCTTTTAAACTAACGTTGATTAAGCGTTTTTGTGGGTTTTTTTTTATAGAATAAGGGTGGAAAACGAGCACACAGTCCACCTGCTGGTAAGTGGACGTTGTAACATCTTTAACTATCATCGATTAATAATCAAAATGAAGATGCTGCGTCACTCCTAAGACTAAGATGGAATGCTTCGTTTCCAGTAAAAATGGTCTCCGGTCGCCTACACTCACCATACGAAACACAGCTATTTTACGCTGGTATTCTGTGAGAGCGTGGTTCTTCCCCGGTCGAGCCGACCTATTCATGCTACAACTATACCATTAATATAGCTGCAGCATGGCTCTACCACGTAAAAAAATGACTATGCTACGTTTTAATAATCGTATCCTCTCGTAATAAGTTTCTAGTCTAGTTTTTGTGTCTGCTCAGATACTACGAAATTCGATGGAACACGTGCCTCAGCGATATATAGTCAGAAAGTGGAAAACAAGAAGACCGCTTTCATCAAAATCAGCACTGTGAATATCTCTAGCTCAAGTTGAGTGTGGAGACTGGGAATCATTCTCCAACACTGTAACACAACCTTATTTCTTTTTTTTTAAACATTACCGTCAAACTAGGATTTTCTCCCGTATCGTGGAGACAATTTATAAACATAACTTGCACAAGGACAAATATCCTAACAACCTAAGATATGACTAATTTTGCTAAAGCAACTATATCAGTAGTATAGTTGTAGCACGAATGGGTCGGCTCGACCGGGGTAGGACCACGCTCTCACAGAATACGAGCGTAAAATAACAGCATAACGCTGCTGTGTTTCGTATGTATTGTAATATGAGTGTAGAGAACCAGAGACACTTTAACTGGAAACGAGACATTCTGTCTTAGTCCTCACAAGTGACAACACATCTACATTTTGATTCGTAATTGAGAGAGATGTCTATGGGCCACAACAACTACTTACCATAAGGTGGACTGTGTGCTCGTGTGTGACCCTTATCTTATAAAAAAAACTCCACTTGTCCTGGTAAGATAATATAGGTTCAGCGTGGTCCTACCCCGTTAAAAATCCTATCGACAATTAAATGATTGATTTAGGTATAACACTCTACTGATGATATTATTAGAATAGAATAGAATATACAGTAAAACTTGGTTAAGTGGGATCTGGATAAGTGGGAAACCTCCATAGCTGGAACTCATGCTTGGGTCCCGACACTTTAGCACTGAATTACCTCTGTTAGTGGGACCAAATAAACCTCTATATTTGGGATTAATTCCTTCGATTTTATCCTCATAATTACCTCTATTATTGAGACAGCGAGTGTATTTTACTTCTTTTACTGAGACCATATTTTGTGTACCGTTTTGTTTACCAATTCTTATTCTACCCGCAAATTCCCTATGCCACAAAAAACTCCCCGAAATTCCAAAAAATCACTTGGCTAATTGTGTAAAAGTGACCTCCAGTTTTAGTTTGGTTTTGCTATCGTCCGGATTGTCGATCCGGAACAATTGCACATCTATAAGTGAAATAACCTCTATTAATGGAATCCCCCTGTAAATGAGACAAACATCTATTTATACCCGGATATCTGAGACACTGGGTAAGTGGAATACTTCTTTAAGTGAGACAAATTTGCAGGTCCCTTAAGGTCCCAGTTATCCAGATATCACTGTAATAATTTTTATTTAATATAGATTACATTTACATGTAATTCTAATTCAAAGTCCTTCATGGGAAGAACCAGCAAAAACCTTACGGTAATTGTTTTAAAGTAAAATTTTACAATTAAACACAGATTGTATAAACTACTATAGAACTGACTAAATTAAAACGATTTGTTTTACCCGCTATAAGGTCGGAGAGTCCATTCCTCATCGTGTACTTGGGCAGCCAGCTGAGGATGGGCAGGCGTCGTAGCCAGGTCTTGGCGGAGCAGCAAGACCGCGCCCGTCGTGCCAAGTTCGCTCGCCAACTTCGTGCATTTTTGTCAGAATATGATGAGGGGTAAGCGCCATTGCCATCTGTGAAAAAAAAAACAGCTGTGTTAAAAATAAATCTTGTAATGTTCTTTGGTTCAATTTTTGAGGTAAAAAATTAATATACCACGTTTTTAGGGTTCCGTACCTCAAAAGGAAAGAACACTTTTTTGTCCGTCTGTCTGTCTGTCTGTCTGTCAAGACCCTTTTTCTCAGTAACGCGTGGAGGTATCAAGGTGAAATTCATATCAAATACTCAAGTCTACTGTTCCTTGGAGTTCTGAAAAAATCAAACTTCTAAGCCAACGCAATCAGAAGATACAGCCGTTTATACCGCAAATTTTCGACATTCGCAAGGGAATCAAATCCTACAGGGTACTTCCAGTGAACTCAGAATCCTAAAATTTTGTACGAAGCAACGTATTATAGCATAGATAAAGGAAAAATTGCGAAAAGCATCAATTTTTAGTTACTATATATTATATTAAAAATATTTTTAATAATTTTAAACTTACATACCTACGGATTTGTTCGGAACCCTCTTTTTTTAATTTTCTTACGACATCCGATTCTATGCCATATTCAATATTTCAAGTCTCTAGCTAAATTAACTAATTATAACTAAATTCGACCCGAACGGATTATACACGAAAGCTAGTTAATAAAAACTTGGTAATAAAGGCCGATTTCAATGAATTAAAAATAATAAAGTAATTTCACAACATTCTGAACATATTAATATTTTTTTAAATCGATTTATTGCTATTTTTACATAAAAAAGTGGTTTTAGTGGCTTATGGTGTAGATTTATCAAATCCGCATGGAGTGGTAAACACGATAACTTTTGAAAATATCTATTGTTTTTTTATTTGTATCAACTCAATCTATTTTTTAATCTCTTCGTCTATCATATGGGAAGCCATGGAATGTAAATGGTAGTTTAATTTTCTTTTGTTTAGTCATAATTATTTTTTTCGGCGTAGAAATCCGGAAATTTTCGGTGTTTTAGCAGTCTTGTAATAATTTATTTTATTAAATAGACTGCCTTACTCACTTCGGCATCAACCGCCGTCGTGAATGGATACTGCATCGGTTCTTTGCAGTGGCTCAAAAAGATCGCTGTACAAATACTAAAAATTTTCGAAAAACCAAATTTCATACATACTTAATTATTATAATAATCAGAGATTTTTATTACGATATTTTAAAAGCACAGAATAAATAATAAGAGTACGTACTAAAAGTAAGTAGGATATATATATTTATACTTAAATACGTCTTGGACTTTATGGAGTGACCTGAATGATGATATGATGATCATATGAGCATTATGAGTCGTGCACTTAAATTGAAGTTTGATATAAAATTATCAAAAAATTGGAAGTACAATAAGGGTCACTAATAATAGTGAAAACTTGTGTGTATTTAAACTACTTTAAAAAATTCCGTATAATCATGTTATACGTAATCTTTTTTAATGCGCTTAGGGATGGACAGTTGGATTTATCAATAGTTTTAATAATTACTGTTGTTTAATTATCTGTTAGTTTATCAAAATTATATAATTTATTCTGCTGTAAATATAATGTTACCATATAAAATATAGCAAACATATTTCCTACAGTTTTTATATTTTAAAACAAAGTAACCTAAGTTACTCTTTTTTTATAGGATAGGGTGACAAACAAGCACACAATCCACCTGATAGTAAGCGCTTGCTGTGAACCATATACATTACATCTACCCTCAAGAAAGAATCAAAATGCGGATGTGTGACCCGTGAGGACTAAGACGGAATGCCCCTTTTCCATTAAAAAAGGGTCTCCGGTTCTCTACAATCACCATACGAAACACAGCAGTGTTAAGCTGCTATTTTGCGCTGGTATTCAGTGAGAGCGTGGTCCTACCCCGGTCGAGCCGACCCATTCGTGCTACAATTATATTACTAATATAGCTACTATATAACTAAAAACTAAATAAAACTTCTACTGGTAGATAGCTGATGTTATAAAATACTGCTTATCTATCTGTCAGTAAAAGTCCCGTCAAAGTCGATCCAGCCACTACGGAGATTAGCCAGAACATACAGACAGACAGACATAAACAAAATTTTTATAATTTTTTTGGTATGAGTACCGTATATACTTTCATATGCATTTAGGAAAAAGCAGTTATTTTGACATTACAAACAGACACGTCAATTTTATTTATTTGTATAGAAAAAGGTTTAATTGTTTCATCCCTTTGTGGGAACCGAGGACGTCGTCCAAATAGTTACATTAAAAGTTTCTTAGGAGACAGACAGACAGCACATACCTACACCCAGACTGTATGTTAAGGGATAAGTAAGGTGAAGTATAACCTATTTAATAAAAAAGTATCATCAAAATCAGTTCACAATTAACGCAAATATCTTGTTACATACATAGAAAATAAAACAAAGTTTAAATGTGAACTTCTCTTTTTTGGCCGTCGAGCAAAATAGGCTTATTGTGTGTATTGTACCCATGAACCGAATGTAATAAATCCGTCATTGTGCCTGAATATGTGCTTAAAATTATACAGATTGCCGCTAAATAAAGACGAGGGGCATTGTGCTGTTATAACGTACTCGTCATTATGACATATTTAATAATATTACTGTTATACTTGACAAGAAAGTCGTTCGATTACCACTCATGCGCCGTTGTATCTCATGGCCTAAGCACTCGCGCTTGATTTCACAGTACGCGAGCAATCTGGGTTCAATCCCTACCGGCACGAATGACCAATGAAATTGTTAACTTAACTTAACTTAACTTATCTTCACGCACAATACCTGACGGGGTAGCCAGAGAGAACAGATCGCCAAGTGTCACGATCCTTACATAACTCTTTCGCTTCTTTCAGATTCATTATCTTCTTCATACATGCACGTCTAGGTATCCGAGTACTCTTGACCCTCCCATCTTCGACCAATTTGCGATTTTCGAAAGTTAGTTTCGGTCTACCTCGACACCTTTTAATATTAACTTTCACGCTATATATTTTCTTCACCATTCGGTCTTCACTCATTCGCTCAACGTGCCCAAACCATCGAAGCACGCCCTTATCACTTTTTGTGATAAGGTCAAACCTGCCATATTGCGAATCTCTTCGTTTCGCTTTCGGTCGGCCATGGTAACGCCGCACATTTTACGAAGAGATCGCATCTCCACTGCATTCAACTTGCTTTTATGCTTCTTCTGGCATACCCAGGTTTCACTGCCATATAACAAAGCCGGTACCAACACTGCGTTATGTATTGCAAGGCGTGCACTCTTCACTACGCCTTGCCTTTTGACTAACGCAGTCAGGGCACCATTGACTTTGTTCCCGGCAGCGACACGCCTGTCCACATCTAAATCACATCTTCCATCCCGGCTAAAAGCACTCCCCAAGTATACAATTTCATTTACCTGTTCTAGACATTCTAGACATGAAATTGTTAATTGCAATTTTAAGTGCTGATTGACCTCGTAGGTACTCGGCGGTCAAGGAAACCACCGAGAGAAACCTGCATATCTAATGAATAACAATTGCAAAGTACATTAGGTATAATTATATTTAATTAATTACATTCAAGTGATATTGTGACTATATAAACATTACACAGTACAAACATACACATGTGCCTTTTCAGGCATAGCAATGTGGAAGAGAAGGCGGCAGACTTCTAATGCTTTTTATCTTGTAAGTACTCATTGGTGGTATAATGAGCTTTATTAAGAAGTAATTCTTTTACTGCTTTAATTTTACTAAACGTATTTCTTCATTTATATTTAAATGCAGTTTGTTATACACTTTGGTATTTATAGAGACCGGAGCGGAATACCTACTAAATTAGATTTCGATTTAAGCTGGTTGTTTTTTTTTTATAGCTCGATTCGTGGTGGTGACGGGTCCTGCTAATTCTCGCGACTTTGTCCGCGTTGGTTGATATATAAAGGAAACACACATCACTGAACACATAGTGCTTATAAAAATCGTTGTTTCTTAAAACTTCAATAACTTTATATTAAACTAGTTGTTCCCCGCGACTTCGCCCGCGTGGAATTATACTAAATAAAAGTAGCCGAAGTTACTCTTTATAACATCAGTTATCTGCCAGTGAAAGTCCCATCCAAATCGGTTCATAGGTGTTTGCGTGATGCGTGTTCAGACAGAAGTCGTATTTTCTTCCGACTTACATGTATCAAAAGATTTTGGCCAATTTACACAATATCTTTATTAATTATAGCTTATCTGTTGTTCTGATGTTTGGGCTATTTAATTGTCAAGTTTCATTAAAATCAATTTAGTAGTTTTTGCGTGAAAGACTAAAACTAACATCCATACATCCTCACAAACTTTCACGTTTATAATATTAGTAGGATGAAGATTGAAGATATTGCCATAATTCTTTTAGATAAGGTCCAAGTGTTTAAGAAATAAAATTTAGAAAACCTAACCTATCCAGTAGTTTTTCCGTTATACACGCACAACTACAAACCTCTATCAATTTATTTGTGTAGATTGTATACAATGTGGTCTGCAGCTTTTCCTAATGTCAATATTTGCTAGAATTTTTTTTGAGCGGTAAAGAGTTTTTCAATGTCTGTGCAGTTTTCCCACATGGGTATGCGCATACGCATTGTAGGCCACATTGGCTATATTTGTATATGTGGAGCTTTTTAACTCATTGAGTGCATATATAAATTTAGACAATTTATTTAACACACATTCTATATAGCTCTTCCAATTGAGATTATTGTCTATTTTAATTCCTAACAACTATTTACAATCGTTAATATAACTGAGATTGCTAGAACCTGGAATAAGTTTTGGAAACACAAAGAAGTACTGAAAGCAAATCTACCGCTTAATTTGAAAATAAAGTAATGGATTGCTGCACACTTCTCTGTTTCACATATGGCTGCCAAACATGGATCCTCAACAGACAAACAAGGAATACAATACAAACTGACGTGCAATGGAAAGAAGAATTCCAAAACTAAAAGACAAACACAAAAACAAGGACATTAGCA